ACTTGTCAGGTTAACTAAGTACATCCCCAGTCACCACTGGAGCTGCTCTGGTTGGCATGAAAGAGAGGAGCTGTGTTGACATAAAGAGATTCAAAATAGACGAACAACTCCACAGACACTCCCTTTAGGCTTTAATTTATCTGCCAAATGTGAGTGTTTGGAACTGTGTGAATGTAGTGTGCCAGTAAAAAAAAGAAAAAAATCTGTGTTCATTCATTATGGGTCCCTGAAGATTTCTCTTAAAATGATTTTTGTCCAAAATATTAAGTTTCATATGCTTTGCTCTCACAATGTACTTTCCTGAAATGTAAAGAAATATGCAAAGAACTACAAACTATATCTACTCTTTAAACTTGAAGGTGACCTGGTTGCCAGCTCAGCGACTCCGTTCCTCTGTCTGTACATGAAGAGGCTCATGCGGTCCGCCCTCATGATGAAGCTCAGGTGTCTCATGAGGTTGAAGACGGACTTCTCCATCTGCAGGTTGTCCTGGATGTCCCGCACCAGGTCAAAGAGGACCTCGCTCTCCTCCACCATTGTCAGGTCGTGGAACTTGCTGAAGTCGACCGCCGCCTTCCTGTTGTTGTCCAGCAGGTCTGAGATGACTTTGGGCCGGAAGTTGATGTCGTAGTACTGCTTTGCAAACTGCGGGTTGGCATCCAGGAACTGCTCTGCTGCCGCTGCATCCACCATGGCTGCTGCTGAAAGGAAACAATCTGAAAAGGATGGAAGCAATGTTTGGATAGGGATGGTTGGAAATGCAGGTTAAAAAATGAGAGGTCCTTTTTTTCGGTCCGTTGACTTTCGGAGAAGGAGAGAGGAGACTAATGGTAGAAAAATCTATGAAACTAAAGATCTGACATGAAGTAAACACATCATGGAGATGATATGGGATACTGCGGTGTACACAGACTTGTGAATGGTGAACAGTACAGTAAATTAGCTGTACCAAAACAATGAGCTAAAAGACCCTAAGACGTTAAATGAAGTTATACATACACAGACATACTAATATAATCCCAGTATTTATATAGTTTTTTGACAGTATAAATGAATTAATTACTATGTTTGTCTCTCTCCTGTTGCTCTCAGAGCTGGGTATCGTCAGCATAGCAGTGGTATGAGAAGCCATGAGAGCGGATTATTGAACCAAGTGAGCTTGTGTATATGGAGAAGAGAAGGGGACCAAACACTGACCCTTGAGGTACCCCTGTGGAAAAACTGCGCGCTTTGGACACTTCTCCCTTTCCCCGACACTCTAAAGGATCGCCCAGAGAGGTAGGACACGAACCAGCAGACGGCAGATCCTGAGATGCCAAGTTCAGAGAGCGTGGATAGGAGGATTTGATGGTTGTCTGTGTCAAAGGCAGCAGACAGGTCTAGCAGTAATAGAACTGAGGACTGACCTGCAGCTCTGGCAGCTCGTAGCGATTCTGTTACTGACAGTAGTGCAGTTTCAGTAGAGTGGCCCCGCTTAAAGCCTGACTGATTTGGGTCAAACAGATCGTTTCTGGACAGGAACTCAGAGACTTGCTTGAAGACTGTGCGCTCAAGTATTTTTGACAGAAAGGGCAGAAGAGAAACTGGTCTGTAGTTTTCAACCTGGGCTGGGTTTAGTGTGGGTTTTTTGAGCAAAGGGGTGACCCGAGCTTGCTTAAATGCGGTGGGGAACACACCCGTTGACAGAGAGGAGTTGATGATATGCTTAAGTGCATCATTAAGAGGAGAGGAAATGGTCTGCAAGAGGCTTGATGGTATTGGGTCCAGAGGACAGGTGGTGGGCCGAGAGTCTAGCACAAGCTTAGAGACTTCATCCTCAGTCAGAGAGGAGAATGAGTCGAGTGAGGCACTTTTGGTTGGTGCCTTTAGGCTGAGTTGGTCATGCTCAGAAAACTGGTTACTGATGGTTGCAACCTTTTCAATAAAATATGAGGCAAACATATCTGGTGTGAACAGATCGGAGGGTGGAGGAGGAGGTGGTTGAAGCAGTGAGTTAAAAGCAGAAAACATTTTTCTTGTATCTGTGGCATTGCATATCTTGTTCTGATAATGTCTTGTCTTGGCTGTTTTCAGGCTGGAGGAGAATGAGACAAGTCTTTGCTTATAGTCATTGAGGTCAATACAAGACCTTCCTAGTTTTCAGATCACTGCTTGTTCTGCTGGCAGTTTCGGATTCAGACTCTTTTAAACTTGGATTTTCAGCTTGCAATCAACAGAGGGTGTGACAAGCGTCAACTGCCTCTCCTGTTGATGCTCAGAGAATTAAACTTAGTGCTCAGCCCAAACAAAGCCTGGCAACAACCCACTATCAATATCTACTCAAAGCACGTTTTGATTCACCCACCTAGCTGACAAGACCTTCCTAGTTTTCAGATCAGAGCTTGTTCATAACATTCATAACATTCATTATGAAGTATTTCCGGCACATGTTGCTCTATATTACCCCCTTTCCAGGTCACACCTGTTTCAGACAGATCTAATACATTTTTACAAAATAAAACACACACAGCCCTACCTGTTAAGGTCTGTGTATTGTCCGCAGCAAAGTGTTTAATCCCTCTGTCCTGCTAACCACCTCTGCAGGTGTCTGAGAAAAAGAAAAGAGATTACAGAGATGGTTTTAAATGGTCATGTGTGAACATAAGCCTGCATCCTATTACAACACTGGGATTATGATACGGTTCATGGTGTAATGAGACAACTTGGGATTCATTTCTATGTCACTATATAATACACAATAACTGTGTGTTTTGAGATGAGTATTCAGAAAAAGACATTTTCAACATGGATGTAGTTTTAGTGTTGGACTTCAGAGGACCAGAAATCTTAAATGCTATGGTAACTAGCAAGCTAAAATAAACTAGACAGAGAAAATTGTATCTATTTTTATTAGCTGAAATATTAATAACACATACAATTTCCTAATTTTGATTTAAAACAAATCTTTGTTAGAAAACAATGGTTTCCACCCACTGAGCATCCCTGATAACATCGTATGAGTTTACATCAGGAGACATATGAGTGTCATTTCACCCTGAGTCTATCATTGAAGAATAACATCACTCACTGTCGCCTTAAAAAATGATGTCAAAGACGGTTCTTCCTCTGCCAGTTAAAAAAAGATAAGAAAGTATTCATAACACATCCTGTCATCAATAACATAATTATATATAATATAATAAAGTTAGACATCACAACTTCAGGAGAAGGTAGCTGTGGATTTTTATTTATGAAGAGCTAAACTTAAATTCCCCCCAAAAAACAGACAACTCATAACTTCATCTAGCACTGGGTTGAAGAGGATGAAGAAAAAGAAGGAGAAAGAGAAAAGAGGATAAGAACAAGAAAAACAAGAAAAGAAAAAGCTGAAGGAAAAGAAGAAGACACACTTAATACATTAGTCTTCGAGGGGAAATTCTCTTTTTCACTCTGTCTTTGTTTGTTTTAGAACATGCTACACACTTATAGGCCAGGAATTTACTCACAGTCACAAACAGGATCATATGGCCATGCACAAATGTAGAGATGTCACAGCTAGGGGGCTTTAAACGAGAGACCACCTGAGCAGTTAGGGATTGGAGCCTTGCTCAAAGGAACCTCTTTGCTGGGGAAGTGAGATGGCAACTCTCCAGGAACCAGACCAAATTCATACTTCGGTTCAGACCAGGACTTGAACTGGCGACCCTCCAGTACACAGACCTAGTTACTGTACAGTGTTGTTAGAACTAAAATATATTGTTACCTTAAGTTTAACATGAATAGAGGGCTTGAAAAATGTAAAAAAAAAATACAGTTTTATAGAATGAACATACTAAAGGTAAGTTAGCAGTGAAATAAAAGAGGTAATATTTCATTCAAACATAGTCAGTTATTCTGCTTTTAATTTAAAGGGTATCTGCAGCGGAGAAGTGTCAGTAAAATGTCACAATTTTCAACATATGAGCCATAATGTATCATGAGCGGCCCGCCTCTGGTGATTAACTACAAACATCAGTCACCTTCACACCCTCTCTCTAGAATCTGAGACGAAAAATAACAAACAGCTCGAACAGAAGGAACACCACTGCTGATAAGAAAACAAACCCTCCCCCCAAAAAATCCCCCCACTGCACAGCTGCTTTCACTTGTGTGTTGTCAATCCATGACTGTTTGAAAACAAAGAGTTCCAATTATAAACAGAGCGCTCACTGTTCCTGGATCTGCTATGACCATCACGACATATCCTCAATTAGTCATTAGGTTAAAAATGAAGACAGGAGTGGTAGTAAAGCTTCAAATTGAGTATGTAGAGATTCAAACATGAAAGATACTTTACATTATCTCTGTTTTTCTCCATATGTATAGATTTTTAGCTTTTGATTTAAAAAAAAAAAAAAAGTTGTGATAACTGGCATTCTGTTTTTGGGACACTTAAGGGTAGCTGTAAAGGACTATGTGTGTTTGTGAATATGTTTTCAAAGATGTAACATTAAACAGATTCAGTTATTTCCGAGGCAAGCTCCTTAATTAAAGAAAAGCCCTTGAAAGTTCCTTTGCAATAAATTCAGGATTTGTATTTCCTTAATGTAAATAGTCTATTATGCAACCTTTTTTTTTTCCTATTGTACAATATTTTCTTTTTCATGAATATAAAATAACATTCAATACACCTTTAACTAAAATGCGCAAAGTTCAATGCAATTATCCAACCTTAGTAATTTCTGTAAAAGTTAAAGATAGGCTACATTTAAAGGTATTTCTTTAAATAGTTATACTTCATAATTGTTGTATACGTTGTTATGTATCAATTGATTTCTCTCTTTTTTTCCTCTTCTCTGACTCTAAACCAGCTATGACAATTCATTTCCCAAATTTGACATGAACATATCTTCATTTATCTTATTTTTCAAAAGCGGTGTCTTATTTTGCGATAGAGTGAGTCATCTTAATTTATAGTAAATCTTTGTCTCAGAAAGTCTAGTGACGTACACCACACTTCCTATTGAACGTCATCACGCACGAAGCAACACAGAGAGAGAGGAGAGAGAGACGGGTGTAAAATGAATTTGAAGCGGAGTGAGCCTCGGCCGTCTGAACACCTCGCTGTCACCGTGAAGTAAAGGACGGCTTGTTCGAGCTCCGGTACGTTACTTTACATTTGTATGAAAGTTTCTCAATAGGGGAGCGAACTTTAACGCGAATTGTCTTTAACTCTTGTTGGCTAAAGTTTTTTTTTTTTTTTTTTTTTAAGTATCCACGTTGACAATTTGTTTACAATAGTGCTCATTCACAGGTCCGCTAATGCAACGTTGGCAGCTCCTGCACTGAGGAGTTACATCAGCAGCTGGCCAGAATCAGAGGGGCTCATATGTGCATTTTGCGGCTCTTTTATGTCACCAAAGTGAAACAAAACTAGCTCAAGCAGACTGGTAGTAACTACACTAATAGGATGTTTGTCACGTAAGGCTACTCAGCTTCCTATTATTAACTGTCTGCATTTAAATAGCCCGTAGGCAGGACCAATGATCTCCTTAACAGCACTACACATGAGACTGTAAGGAAACAAAGCAAGCTGACAGTACTGGAAATCCTGATAATGTTATAAATTGGAAGAGATGTAGTTGGTAAAAAAAAGTGGCATGGTGGGGGCAATATAAGGGGGCTATATTTGACTTTTAAAGTAAACTTCCAGTAGACATGGTTTTGACTTATCTAAGATGAGACATCTGTGACATCTAACCCACTTAAGTTGGAGCTTGAAAGCTTTTTTGTTTTGTTTTGTTGTTGCACTAAATGATCAATGCTTTCTCCACCACTTTTGAAGGACCGTTTCCCCATTAAAGTTAAGCCATTTTAATGTTGTTTAAACAGAATCTAATCAGGTCTTTCTTAGAGGGTTTGTTATCTTATTAGGTCCAGTGTTAACCCTTGAACTTAGATCACTCAAGTTGAGGTTTGTGCAAGGAAAGTCAACAGTGAAAAAACACTTTTCTGTACTGTAAGGGGTCACTGAGCCAAAGCGTATGAATAAGGGGAAGTGTCTTTATGCATGATGACGTAGCATAAAGAGTAGGCCATGTTTCTAGACGTTTGATAAATTAGGCCCAAACCCGTTGACCTGTAATTAGATAGCACCTCTCCTGACAAGTGTCATGTGGTTATTACTGTAGTCAGGAGCAAAAGGTTCACAGATAAGCACACGAGTTGTTTAAGTTTTATTGTTTTAAGTTCATTTTATTTTGCCTGTAAAAAAAAAAAAAAAAAAAAGACGTGTCATGATTATAGATCAAGTTTGCATGACTACTTGAATCGCTGAGCTCTCTTTTTGTAAATCATCACAGGTAAGAGCTCGATCATGACTCTTGGCGATGACTTCCGCGCAACAGCAGAAGACGGAGCCGAGAGCGGCCAGATGCAGCCTCTCATACTGGAAAGAGTGGAGAAAGACACGGACAAAACCTGCAAATCCAAAGTGTCGCGTCGGCTGAAGAAATGCTGCTCTTGCACACCAAAGAAAGCTAAATCCAAACTACTTGGCTTTGTGCCGATTCTGAAGTGGCTGCCTCACTACCAGCTCAGGGAATGGATTTTGGGAGATATCATGTCAGGTCTTATTGTAGGCATCCTATTGGTCCCACAGTCCATAGCGTACTCCCTGTTGGCCAGTCAGGACCCCGTATACGGTCTCTACACGTCCTTTTTCGCCTCCATCATCTACACTCTCTTAGGCACTTCCAAACACATCTCGGTGGGGATCTTTGGGGTGCTCTGCCTGCTCGTAGGTCAGGTTGTTGATAGGGAGTTAGCTCTGGCAGGATACCTCACAGAAAAAACTGGCATGATGGTAACGTCAGCGGGATCCTGCTGGGTGTTCAGGGGAACAGCAGCGTTGGGATGGAGTGTGACAGAGCTGCTATGCAATCACAGTGGGCGCTACAGTCACCTTTACTGCTGGAGTTTACCAGGTAAGTGAACATGGATGTGCAAATGAGTGAAACGGACCATTTATGTGATTTCAAGAATGTTTTTTTAAGCTTGGCCCTACTTTTACATGCACATGTTGATGTGAATGACCAAAAGGTTGAAATGATTTGCTCCAGTAGATTCTTCTGCAGCTACAACTAGGCTAGAACCATTGCCGTGTAATCCCCTGAGACAAATGCAACCTATTAAATTTTGTTTTTGGCAGTGACAGGGTAAGGTTGTTATTCAAATCGTCTGACTAAATTACTTACCCTGAATAAGGAATAGACCTTTTTGCAATTGTAATATTATTCTCATAAATCAGAAACAACTGTTATCTCTATTAAGAAAATAATACATTTTGCCCAAGAGTGTCCATGTTATCGCCACCTGGATTGGTCAGTTTTTATGTACTTTAAAGTGACTTTGGTATTCGTTAATGTTAAGTTTGGATCCACTCAAAAGCACAAACAAACAAACTGATCAAGTCAGTGGTAGACCATAAACTCCTTTGTTTGGCAAGGTAAAAAATACTTAGTAAGGTTATCTTATTTTACTCTTTAAGAAGAAAATGTCTGAGTTAAGATCTTGTTGGACAACTAAGCTGCTGGTTGTGGCAATCTATTGGAGCAATTTCAAAATATTCCATTGAATGTCATTTTATTGTAAAAATGTCTTGAACGATACAATATCTCTTTTGCAACATCTGCAGATATAAAGTATCCTGCCTTCACTTTGACACCTGCTTGTTTCTTTTTCCCAGGTGGTCATGGGTATTTTCCAGGTAGGCTTTGTCTCCGTCTATCTCTCAGACTCCCTTCTGAGCGGCTTCGCTACAGGAGCCTCCCTGACCATCCTCACTTCCCAGTTCAAGTACCTCCTGGGTCTAAAGATCCCCAGACCCCAGGGCTGGTTTACTCTGTTTAAGACCTGGTACAACATAATCATCAACCTGGGAAACACCAATATCTGTGATTTGGTGACAAGTCTGGTGTGTTTGCTGATGCTGATACCTACCAAGGAGCTCAACGATCGCTTCAAATCCAAGCTAAAGGTAGAGAGACAGATTGTAGATCATTTTACTTCAACATTTAGTGCACTTTGTAGACAGTTTCCATTTTCTGTGCCTTGTCTCACAAAATCTTGGGGTTAGGATTTTTTTTTTTATATGAATAAGGGGTAGAAACATCTTTAATTGCTTACTTATGTGATGGTATGGCCAATATTGTGCTTTCACATTTAACCATCTAATATCAGATTAACCGACACCAGATATGCAGGTTGGAATATCCTCGGGTCCTCTGTTCTTACAATACAAACCGACAGGCAACTTTGTCCTTGAAATATTACGTGTCCAAAGCTATTACGAGATAACTGTTGACACTCATATGAAAAAATACATTTTTCAAACAAATTATACACGCATAGATAAATTGTTATGAGATGATTGCTAGTTCTGGGATTGCACTGGATTGCACGCTCAGACCTAATTCGTCAATACTGCTCCGACTACCAACGGAGACCACAATACTTCTGATACCAAAGAGTTAGTACTTCAACATCACATTCTGCAATGATTTACACCTGTTCATAGAGATAAAGGGCAACTATACTTAAAGGTTAATTTTCACATTGCAGACTTAGTAGCTAGTAACCATAATAGATAGATAAATATATTTACTTTATTGATCCCAAACTTCCTAAATTTCCCAGTTTGGGATCAATAAAGTAACTATCTATCTATTTATCTATCTATCTATCTATCTATCTATCTATCTATCTATCTGGCCTAAACCAGAGTCTTGAATTGCGGCATACCAAATTGTCCTACGATGTTGCCCTTCATCTGGGACATTTGAGATTGGAAAGTTAAGCTAAATCCAAGCCCAATTTGCCCTAAGAAAGTTGCCATAGACAGTATCCACTCTTACTTATGCAAAATGTTCTTCCCATCCAGCCAAACATTGCATCTGTTACCCCTCCTTGTTAGAATGCTAGAAAAGCAACATTCTCAAAAGCAATGTTCTCCGATTTAAACTAATCTAAAAACTGTCTTTTTCATTTTCCTTACCCAGGCTCCAATTCCCTTTGAACTCTTTGTTGTGATAATTGCAACACTGGCTTCTCATTTTGGTCACTTCAATGCTGATTACGGATCCGGAGTTGCTGGTGAAATCCCGACAGGCTTCCTCCCTCCCAAAATGCCCATGTGGTCTCTGATCCCCAGTGTGGCTGTGGACGCCTTCTCCATTGCCATCGTAGGGTTCGCCATCACCGTCTCACTGTCTGAGATGTTTGCCAAGAAGCATGGTTACACTGTTGATGCCAACCAGGAGATGTACGCCATTGGCTTCTGCAACATCCTGCCATCGTTCTTCCGCTGCTTTACCACCAGCGCTGCTCTGACAAAGACCCTGGTGAAGGAGTCAACGGGGTGCCAGACTCAGGTGTCTGGGCTGGTCACCTCCCTCGTCCTGCTGCTGGTGCTGCTGGTTATCGCACCGCTCTTCTATTCCCTTCAAAAGTAAGTTTAGCAAAACCTGAGTCATTTAGCACTTTAAGCTTCTTCCATAAACATTGTACTTTCAATCTCAACAACTTTCAATCTTAACTTTGGATATGCTACAGTTGAGACTTTAAAAAACAGTAAATTAACGTACTTTAACAGGAGTGATAGAGTAAGAAAATCCAGCTGTGCCCAAAAAATCAAAATAACTCATTTGTGCAGCAGTTTCACGTTTTGTTATTATAGAGCAACTGACAGAAAGGAAACTGGTTAGGGCTGTCTAGCCTACGTGACTTGTCCCACCAGTTACTCTTAACTGTAAGGTAACCTCTGGTGGCCACATCACATCCAGAACGCAACAAAGACTTGCCCTTTGGAAATAATTTACTGCCATGAGTGTGAAGTGAGGACTTGTTAACTCATGTTTATTAACAGTAGCTGTCACTCTTCATGGAGCTGATCTGATTAATTGCATTTTTTTCCATGAACTTTCTGATGCTAACATTTTCCTTTCCTTGCCCAGATGTGTGTTAGCTGTCATCATCGTGGTTAACCTCCGCGGAGCTTTACGAAAGTTCACAGACGTTCCCCGCATGTGGCGCATCAACCGCGTCGATACAGCGATCTGGTTGACCACCATGGCAACCTCTGCGCTGGTCAACACCGAGCTGGGTCTTCTCGTGGGGGTTTTGGTGTCAGCCTTCTGCGTCCTGGGCCGAACCCAGCAGGCCCAGGTCCTGGAACTCGGCTGTGCTTCAACCAGGGAGCATTACGAGGACCTGTCATCTTACCACGGCCTCCGAACACATCCTGGAGTGGCCGTTTTTAGATATGACGCTCCAATTTATTATGCAAACCAGACACTGTTCAAAAAGTCTCTGTACAGGTGTGTCGGGCTTGATCCTGTGAAGGAGAAAAGCCGACGTATTAAGTTCAACAAGAAAAACAAACAGCTGGAAGAGGGCAAAGGAGTCCCAAAGGTGAAGTCTGAGGAGAAGGAGGCGGCGGATAAAGAGGATAAGGCTGAAGATGGTGCAACTGTAACGCTGATGCTCAATAATAAGTCACACAGCTTACGCAGCTTGGTGATTGACTGCAGCTCTGTCTTGTTTTTAGACACAGCTGGAGTAAACGCTCTCAAAGAAGTCCGTAAAGATTACGGAGAACTTGGGATCAAAGTTGTGCTGGCTCAGTGTAACGCTGCAGTACTGGACGATCTGGAAAGAGGAGGATACTATGATGATAAAGGTCCTGATGGAGGGGAGAACAAAATCATATTCTTCACTATCACAGATGCCGTCCACCATGTCTAAAACCTTTTCGGCTCCTAATGGAGATTATGACAGCCAGTGCTGAGAAGACAATCTGTCAAATACAATATGTTCACATGTATCTCAAACAATGCAGAGGATAAGAACAGGTTTGCCATTGTGCCTTGTAATGCTTCAGTGATTGCTGGAGTCCTGCACCGTCAATCATAATTGCAGGAGAAAACTATTTGCTTAATGTTACAGCATCGCAAATGCTAACTGTAAGTCTTCTATATAGAAATGTAACCAGACTACACGATGTAGTGCCTATGCTAAAAGTGAAACCTCAAAAAAGGATAATTTTGTACTTCCTTTACAAAACGATACACCATATTATCCCCTTGGGGAAATTTTAAGCAACATCTCCATTTTTGCACATAAATACCAAAACTAGATCATTAACAATCCCCAGTCACATTGAGTAAGGATATGAAATATTGATAGTCATGACTGATATGATATGAAATTTTGGCACCAAGATGTCAGATGTTTCAATGGCAGTACAGCTGTCTAAATCCCAAACTACTGTAAGACACAATGATGTGTTACAATTATAGAGCTCTTGTATTCCACAAAAAAGTATCGTATTTCTCTCGTGCAGCCTTTGCCTGTAAATCATAACGTGCATGAGCTAACTGTCATTACTTGGGTCAGAAAACAGCATGTCTGTTGTGTGTCAGTCAGGATATCTGCACAAAAAACTAAGAAAAAAGGTTTTTCAAGGGAACTTTTGAACGACTGGAGAATTCACTGAAGTTTAAGATGAGGTCGTGGATTCAACTGAAAGAAGGTTATTCTTGAACAAAAGTCATGGATCTTAATCCACATGCTGTTATTAAGTGTTTACTTTGTAACAAACAGCCACATTGTGCCTGCACAGAAACTTATTCTTACAGTACCTCATAACGCTGTTATCCTTCATACCAATGATAATCCAGGCCGTGAGATTATTTTTCCCTGTGGGAAAGACCCGGTCATGTTTACAAAGCCATAAAACTGTTGAATGTTTAAAATATAGAATATAGACTTTAAAGAGAGGTGAAAATACAATCTGAGAAACAAAGGTCGGAGTGCTGGAGATTATTCTAGAGAGCTCCACCAGCTCATGGTGGACCTTCCTCTTTTTACAATCATTTCATAGTTTTTGTTTTGTGTGTATCTTTAGTCATTTACTAAAGAACAAGTGTCATGTTCTTCATGTGGGAGATTACTATTTGGAACAAATGTCCATAGCTGTTATTTTATATCTGTGGTGTTTTTTATAAACTGGTATGAACCTTGTTTTTCACTTTGATGAAGTACTTTTATGAACTTTGTCCTCGATCCCCGTTTACTGAGGGAGGCAACTCGCATAGCTTTAACCTATGTCATTTAGATTAGTATATATACAATTAACAACATTTTTTTTACTATTGTGCAGTGAGTGCCATGTGAGTTAATCTGCAAAAAACGTGCTTGATTAGGTTTCATCTGTTTTAATGTTGAATTATTTCTGTCCCTATCCTTTGTTGTTACGGCCTTAATGAACACAGGTCCTTTAAAGGTTCCTACAGATAACAGATGCCTAATGTGCCTTAAGGTGTATCAATACAGCAAACAGGAGGGAACAAGAATGTTAGTTGAGTAAACATGTAAAAATATGAAAACAGTGGAGTTTTCAAATGAATAAGAACGGCCTTGCCCTTTTTAAGAAGAAGACAATTAAATTATTGGCTGGACCTAAAAAAGCACAAAATGTAAAAAAAAAAGTTTTGTTGGTTTAAAAAAAAAAAAAAAAACTCCTTCTGACGAGCACCCTCAGCATGAATGCAAAAAGGGGAAGGATTCTCTTTCCTCATATTTGGAACTGTCTTTGCTGAAGGGGGTTTGAGGTTTTAGGAGGAGCAACTTCTTAACACCAGAAAAAAAAAAAAACTGACGGTGTTCAGGAGCTTGATAAAATTGTTTTGCCCAAGACATGTGCAAGTCAAACACAGTCACAGGGGATTTCAGTATGGCCCTTTGACTTGACTTTAATTCTGAAAACGAAGACTGTGAACCAAAGAGGAGAAAACATTCTGACATGGAGGTTGAACATTTTTCTCTCTCTTTCAAACATAAGGGAGAGTGAAATCGTGTTGGAAATTAAATGAGCAGAGACTCAAATTGTGTCATTATTAGCTATGTAGTTATGTTTATGTAAAGCACAAAGCAGTTACAAAGTATGCCTTTATTTTAAATAGCAGTGACATATTACACTACCTAATTGAATCAAAAGCTTTCAACTGTGATCGATTGTTTTAGTGTATTGTAGTTTGCTTTTTGTTCTATTAAACCAAAATGTAACTCAGCAAAGCCATACCCCCAAAAACGAGAAGTTTTCCAATGTGTTCCAATATTTAATTATCAAGTTATTAAAACAAAGGACATTGTAATATATACACATATCTTTCCTGTAAAACACAACTTCAGCATTTTTTAAAATCATCAGTATATGCCAATTTTAAATATATATATATATATATATATATATATGTCTTGTACTTAGAGGATGCTTTACTTAGGTTTCATCAGCGCTTCGATAAAATTAGAAAAATTATCATTTGCCTTAATAATCAGTTTGTTCCTTTTTGTATGGTGTGTCCAGTCATGTTGGACTGGATGGCTTTTGTCTATGTTGTGATTCTATGGGTCAAAGATAATCAGAACCTGTTTTACTGAATGTATTTCTATAATTTATATTTGTTATTTAAGTTAATTCAGATCTCCATTGTCAAGCCAAAAAGCACCAGGTCTACTGAAGCATTTCCCACGTGCTACTGTACACACAGTGAATATGTTTGTTTGTCAATGACTGAATGCAGCTCTGTGTATAAGAACCAGGCAGACAATCAGATACGCTGCTGCAGGAATGTTGTTGTGCGTAACCGAGATGTACGGACTTGCAATCTGATCTTTAGTTTCGACAGCAATTAAACCCCACCCTTTAAATAACCACCTCTACAATGAAAGTGAAAAGACTATTTGTACTGGAGCTCAGGGAAACAAACACATCCCATCCCACTTTGTAAAGTCAAAGTTCATGTCTTTTTTTAATTTTTTTTAAATACGATCATCTCAGATTGTCATGTCTGGAGGCCATCAGAAATCGCCATATTGCTTTTAGATCATGTTATCACCAGCACTTGTAACAATAGATAAAGTTTAGTTTATATGAACTTAGCCATGTTTCAAACACTAATATGTGTCCCTAACCTGTCTTCAGACCCCCTTATTATAAGAAAAGTCCATCCACTTTGTCTTTTGCCTGCTCCACTTTTCAGAATTGTTCCCTTTGTGACATCACAAAGGGCAGTAACACCTCCCCCAGGTGGGTGACACTCCCACAGCTAGGTGTTTGTTCAGCCTTCTCACTGTATACAATAGGCCATGATGCAAGAGAGCCCAAGCCCTTCCAGAGAGGGGGCGTGGTCAGACACAGCTCATTTACATTTAAAGCTACAGATACAGAAACAGCCTGTTCTGAGCAGGGCTGAAATAGAGGGGTTTATAGACATATTCAAATACAGGATCAGAGTGGATTTAGAACAAGAAACATCACAGACATGTTTTGGGGAGCTCTGAGAGTAAGTTGCACTGGTTGAGAAGGTTTTATTCGATCATAACCTCAAATTTTGAGGTTTCATTTGGTGTGACTTGTCTGTAAAACTTGACCATGCGACACAGAATAACTTATTTTGGGTTTGGGATTTATACGGTATGATGTGTTTCATTGCTTGTGCTACAAAATGATTTTATGTAGCTCCATAATACGAGGAGCACATGAAAGGGAGTGATGGCTTGATGTTGCTGCAGGAGAAACTGTAAAAGTGCATTTTATTACACTGAACACAGCCTGTAGTTCAACATGCACTGCCATTAACATTCAGAAGATGTTTGTTTACATTTTCATTTCAGGATTTCAGTCGCTTTTCTTAAGACATTTTTTGTACTTAATGCTAATGTACAATGTCGGTTTTAACATTTATATTCTGAGCTGTCTGCAGAACACTGATGCAAGGTTACATGAATGATTAATTTTCTCACAAACAGCCTTTGTCCAATTTCCTTATGTGAAATAAAGTCATTTTCCCATGATTCAATGCAATACTTGTACTTATTTATGGCATGCCAATAATAGAGGGAACACAGTTTTACAGGTATGGATCCAATGCTTTAGTAAATGTATTCTATTGAGATTGCATCAGTCTCTTTTCTGCCTGTAGGAGTGCTTTTTCAAACAACTCTTTACTCAGCAAACAAAAGTTCTGACTCGAGTAATTACTCACTCGTGACTCTTTTTGTGTGATGCAGTGGCTATTTGTCTAAGCGCTCTTTGTCTTTTCAATTGAACTTTAAATCACCTGTAACATGACGTTTGTTTACCAAGAACTACAAACAGATTTGATACCTTCTCTCTTACCACATCCTCACTTCTGTCCTGGAACATTTTTGGAAATCCTGCAGCTCTCTTCCTTTCTTTCAGGCCTTCCTAACACATCCGTCATTTATGCATAAATGTAAAGTGGAATGCGTGCCCAATAACAAATAAACTAGAGATGAGACCAATCTGAAATAATATCAGTATCGGGTCTGATATTTAATGAATTTACCTATCGGATTGACAACGCTGATCAACGTCAGAGATCAAGAAAGATCTTTGGGCACTTTATGATCAAAAGTACAATTGTAACACTTTACTTTGAAATATTTAATTTGAAAACCTAACAGTTGGTGCTGCTTCCTGTTTGTATGTGTCACCTGCACAACGTTCAAATACAGTTCTTTGGAAAAATGTTAACGCATTTTTATCTATAAAAATAGATGTTTTGCTCTTTTAATAAGAAATGCAAAAAAATTAAATAAACAGGGTTTAACCTGTCTTTCTGTGTGAAGACAGTTTACTCGGTGAAGCCTTACATATAATACCAATAACAACAATAACACTATTAAAAATTATTTTTTAAAATCTGTATTGGTATTGGTGCACATGTATCGGAATCGGATCAGAACTGAAAAAAGAAGGTGAATCAGTGCAGCTCTAAAATAAACTAGGCCGTTCTGTAATATTAAGTATATAATCATTTGGAGATTGATCACGCACTCACACAGACATAAGCTGATGCAGAAATGTATTTAGTTGCTTTGCTAAAAAAAAAAAAAAAAATCGAATTGAAGCAAGAATAAACTTGAAATCTCTATTCCAGTCACATTGCACTCTTCTTGTTCTTTTCCTTTGCCGCTCTTAAAGACTTTCCCCTGAAGACAAACTACAGAGGACAACAAAACATGGGCTCAAGCAAAGGAGTCAATGTGGCTTTCAAAGTAAACGAGAATCCTCTTAAGTTCAGTCAATAGTCGAGTCTGGGTCTCGACCAGATGGGTTTCTTTAAACCTCTCTTCTTGTTGTTGCTCCTTCCATGACGATTGAAGACTGCACAGACTGGTTGACTGAGACTGTGATTTAAATAGCTTATGGGAGATCGAGATCCTAATGTGAATCCTTTTTTTTAGGTGAAGTTAGAACTTTCCTCAGACTTTCCTTTCAAAACACAAACAAACACAAGCATTATCACGTCAAGCCACACATGTCAATGCAAGATTTACCATTTTTTTCTGTTATGTCTGTAACAGACTCTTCTTTAAGTTCTGTCTTTGGTTCAAACATCATCATGAGATTTACAGCTCACAGGCTGTGGTTTATTTTGCAGGGCAGAAAGAACAGCTTCTACTTTCTCTGTCAAGGAAGTCAAGATTCATGAAAATCACCACCTGAGGCGATAAAAGTCTTAATCCTCAAAAGACAGTTTTAGTGTGACTGTGAAAACTGCTGTCTTAAGAAAGTTGGTCATCACAGTAAGGCAGAACAAGGTCACACCCTTGTATATGTAGAAACGCCTATACTCCTTAAACACCCTTTACTGGAGCAACTTTGAGCTGTAGTCCACACAGGACGATCTAAAGATAAATGAAATGTTACTAATAGAGGAGAATTACTGGACTGTATTACTTTCTGTGTTGACAAAAGATCTCATCATTGTTCATAGTTATTTAAATAACAGCTGCAATGACCTTAACACTGACTCACACACTATGTTTTGTCTAGGATACTTTAGTTTGACACTATTGTAAGAGGACAAACAAAGAAGACACACAAGCGCTTCAAGGTGAGTGAGGATCCTTGGATGCCCCGTCTGTACTTCGATGTTCTTGCCAATAACCAATCTGTCTCTCTGTAAACTTTTGGAGGAGATAAGAGTTTATAGATTTTAAGGTTTGGGTCTGCCTTTATCTCCTGCTCTCATCTTTCCTCGTCTTCAGTCTATTCCTTTTTCTTCATCCACTTTCAAAGTGTTGGCGGTGAACAACAAAGTGTAGAACAAATATGTGTACTTTAGTGTTTCACTCTTTAGGTGAATTAGGTGTGCTTACCAGATAAATCATGGAGTGTTTAGGGAACATTGCAAAAATAATAGAAACTCTTAAACTGTTTTATCTCTGCTGTTTTATTTTTTTATCCACTTCATTTTTTTTTTTCGAAAAAATGTAACATTTTGGTTGACTGACAAAGCCAGCTGCCATCAATATAGATAAATATTTAGGACATGTAAGGCTGTTGCAGTCACATTGGCCTTCTCAGGCAGTGACTTTAATTTTCCACCAGGGGGCAGCATTTACCAAGAAACTGGGGAGAATAAAATATAAAGAATAAAGTGACATTGTGGAACTTGGGAGAGGATATTGGACTTTTATTTCAGTGAACAATGATTTCACTCAAAGGGAAAACCACATCTAAAGCAAATGTGGAGAGGAGATGTGGTCTTCCTTGATTTCAGATCTGTAGATTTCTTGTGGATATTAGTAAATCAGATTTGTTTTCTTTTTTAAAATCATCTTTATCGCCTCTAAACTGTTGCTGACATTTGGGTGTTTTTCCTAAAATGTTATCAGGTTAAAAACAGAACTCCTGAGACTCATATTTCAGTCCAGAGGTGAATTTATGACATTTTCTGAGACAGGGCACCTGTATGTAGGTTGATCAGAAATACACTTTTTTTTCTTCTGGGTTAGGATTTGATAAGGGTCACTTGATTCTTACAAACTATTTATTCATAAGCTGTATTTTTCTCTTCTTATTACATTACACACTTTCTTATTACATACAGTACATCAGACACTTTTAGCAGACTCTGAGGGAGATTTGTGTTAGCTTTCTTCTCTAAATCCTATTTCCTCGGTCACTAAGCAGGCTAATGTGATTGAATCTGGCCACTGAAAGGTCAAGTGGTACCTACAACATATTCGATTTTCAGTTAATAAAGGCGGGAATCTGGACAATGAGATTATGCAGCGTGCGGCCTCGCTCACCTAGACATTTTAATTTGTTTTATTTGTAAAGTTAACAAAAAGCTGCTTCATCCCACAACTCAACTTTCATTCCTTTGTTTGCTCCTCCTGAGGCTGAGGGGAGGGAGAGAGAGAGAGCTGCTCATGGATCAAACGCTTGTCATCCAAAGGGAGGTTTGTTTCACATCGTCAAAATCCCAATATTCTGTGAGGGGACATTTCTATATTTCAAAGACTTGGACGGGGGAAGCCAACAGGGCTTTTATGTTTACTGTCAAAAAACTGTTTTATCACCAATCTCTCGCATCAGCCAGACTTTCTCTCTACCTCGGATCCAATATGTTTCACAAATAGAGCTGTCAGATCAAGAGTCTGTATTCACACAGAAAAGGACAGTGGTGAAGTCAAATTGGTGAATGAAAATGTGTTAACTTTCACTTACTTCACAACAAATAACCTAGTATGTGTTTTTTTTTTAATTGTTTTTTTTTTAGCTTTGTACGTGGTTTAAGGACAATATAATAGATAATAGATTCAACGTCATGCTTGAGTATGTTGTGTAAAACAGCACCTGTATGTAAATAATTGTCTCTGTCCGGCTTGCTCTGACAGGAGCAACAGATATGTGTCGTAGAACCAGCACAATTCAAATGGCGTCAGACTGCATAAGACCAGCTGTCAGTCACAGAGGCATGGGCGGTTCTAGGCAGGGGCCAACAAGGGGTCAGTGCCCCTGTTAACACCGAGCTTGGTCCCCTCTGTGGCCACCCCTCCAAAGGAAGAGTCCCCCTAATAACACATATTTGACTCAGGAACCTGACTCATAATCTAGTATTACATGCTGTTACTGAAAAAAATAGAAATCATGGTCTATTATTTGGCATAATATATATATATATATATATATATATATATATATATATAGATATTTTAAAGCAATCATCTTTCAAGTTTACCAAAATACAAAACCGAGCATTTCTCAGTTACCTATAGAAGCGTTTAGATAGATTCACTATTACTAGGACTGTTCACGACATAATAAAACAGTATAGTGACCTCCAGTGGCCACAGTTGTTATTGCAGTAAAAACACACTAAGCGCAATACTTTTTAAAAGTTGGAGCAGTAAACATCTTATGTGACATAACAACCAGGAGTTCTGAATATAGTTAGATACCACTCCTGCAGGGGAACTGGTGGCCTAATGGTTGCTGCACGTGCAACATGTGCAGAGGCTGCAGTCCTCCCGGAAGGCAGCCCGGGTTTGAATCCGACCTGTGGCTCCTTTCCCGCATGTCAATCTCCACTCTCCCTCTCTCTCCGGTTTCTGACTCCACTGTCCTATCTCTAAATAAAAGGCATAAAAAGCCCAGAAATAAACCTTAAAAATAACGTTCCTACAAACAAATAACTCTTACAGCGATTTGTAACAGCAGGCAAGCATCAGATAGCGCTTCACATCGCGAAGCATAGGGCGCTCGCTGTCCATATCCATTAATATTAAATTCTCTGCTCTGTGAATTTGACGAGTGGTCTAAAACTTTTTTTTTTTTTTTAACTGAGAGCGCTGTGAGCACAGAGACAAAAAACAGCTGACGCCAAGGCTTCTTGAGACCAAGACCGATCTCAAGTACAACAAAACTAACTTCAGCATCATGACCTTGAACGTAGTATTGCTTAATTATCACGCTTCATAAATGAGGTGAATCTCCCACCAATTAACAGAAAACTAAGAGGTGTCCACTCTGCACA